GGTCCTGATGAGGGAGTCCTGAAACTGCCCCCGGTGGTCCTGAACAAGAAGATGGAGGCAGAGGTCCTGATGAACGGAGGCAGAGGTCCTAAACAAGAAGACGGTGGCAAGTGGTGATCGTGACGAAAATCTGCTCGTAGATGCTAACGGCGGCAGAGCTCTGGTTTAGGGCTTTGATGATTTCGTGAAGAACAATAGAAAAGTGATGATACGAATTTTTGATAATTATTATAAAACTACCTACGAAAGCGCTTTTAAAAGCGCTTTCTAAAGGTCACCTATAACAACGCTTTTTAATGTAAAAGCGCTTTCGTAGCATATCCTATAGCAGCGCTTTTAAAAGCACTTTCTAAAGGCCAGCTTTAGCAGCGCTTTGTAAAAGCGCTTTCTAAGGCTAACCTTTAGCAGCGCTTTTGAAAAGCGCTTTCTTAAGGTACCCTCTGAAAGGCACCCTTTAGCAGCGCTTCTCAAAAAGCACTTTCTAAGGGTGACCTTTAGCAGCGCTTTTGAAAAGCGCTTTCTTAAGGCACCCTTTGAAAGCGCTTTTTTTAAGCGGATTTTTTTTAAAACCTACATCAACGCTTTTTCCTAAAAGCGCTTTCGTATGTGTGCTGCTAAAACTTATTTTTGGCGTAGTGCTTGGGTCTTTTTTCCTACAACCTTTTTGGTTATTCTTGGGCCCGGGTAGAATGGTTGGCCCAACACTAAACTCCCTTTCAATGGCCCACTAATGGACAAACACCTCCTCTTCTTTTGACTATTCCGTTTTTTCTTGCTACACTTTAACTAACACATACCCTTTTCTATTTCACTTAATATTATATTCTTCCCACCTGTCCCAGCATTAATGGCGTTCTGCTCCACATTTATTACAACTTCTAACAATGGTAATTAAGTACTGAAAACTGGGATTTCCAATGACTTTTCAAGGATGTGACCTTCCTACACCCTTGTACCAATGTTCATTTCGTAGCCAAAAATCACCTTTTCAACTTCTGTCGCCACAACATGATTTGACCTTTCCTCCAACACCTTTTCAGCACCATCGTCCACCGCCTCCGTGAAAACCCTAGGGTTCTCGCCCCCATTCCCTTCCCAGCTAGAATCAACCTACCTCGACTCTGGATCTTCCCTATATTTCTTCTTGTCCTTCACCATACTTCCTGGTATCATAATTCTTATTGGACCTTGAGAATCCTCCATTATTTTGATTGAATACGCATCACCATTAACCCTAATGTTAAAGGATTGGATAAGAACTATGTTGTACTTTGTCCTAACCAGAATGCCACATCAAACTTTGATTGCTTCTGTGTTTCATCATCACTACACATATAAATTTCTACCGGAGAAGCCAGGAAATGGAAAAACTCCATACACCATGCATGGCATGGTATTCCATATCACCTCAACCATGTTACCCCTTAATTATCAACATCCATTGGGCTCCATTTATGAATCTCACTGAACCATTAACTCATACAATCTTTAGCCTCTCTAACCAAAAACTCCAATTCACCATCCTCATTTTCCTCTAACAAACATAGGTTTGCACCCAATGGTGTGGCTTTTATCGTAAAGTAACCCTCCATATGAAAAGATTCTTGGATATTGTATGTCATTCTTGGATTTTAAACAATACCCACATATGACTTTTCAAATCTAGCCAAATCATCCAACTCCCTATTAAACTCCATATGAGTAAATAGAGGTTTCAGATTCTTTTCACTAATGACACGCACGTAAGTTCTCCTGCCACCCTCCTTGACACCATCCCTCAACAAACCATCATAGTTTCTTGGTTGTTGAACCTTATTTTGTTGCTTCATAGGATCTCCACCACCCCCCTTAAACCCCTCATTCCTTGGTTCACCCTTTGCATGTTTTGGTATATTCACATGCAACTTCCTTCTTCCAATGAAAATATTATCCAGTTTTGTCGCCATCAGCTCCGTATCATTTATGTAAAATATCTTAAAAAAACCATATATCTTCCCTCTAACATCCTTTTTTGGCAGTATAATCACTTCATCTACCTTCCCAAAGTCACTGAATACCATGTATAACTCCTTAGCCCCATAGTCCTCCAGAATCTCAGTGAAAAAATGTTGTTACAAATCTCTCAGGTGAGCCACCACGACCACCAGTTTTGTTATGGATAGTATCCCATCTCTGCTTCCTACACTGCTCCAGAACCCTTGTCCACTCCCTCCCTCTCTCTCATTCTTTTTTCTATGAATTTTACTAATAACTCATTCAAGGTAATAACGTGTTCATCAAGATATAACTTAAAAAATATCTTATATTTTAAGATTTATTTTTGTTAAAATGTATTTCTTTATTTTGGATGGGGTTACTGAGATTTCAAGAATTAAAACATTTACATTTTTTCTACTTAAATAACAATTACCTCCAGTCTCCATTTCTTGACATACACCAAAGAATTTTTTTGATATAATCTGCAATAGTGTAGCTTTAATTCAAAACTTTAAGACCATAGACTAAAGTTTGCAAAAGTGTATTAGTGTGTAGTGTGATAGCTAAAATGTTATTAATATCCCATTTATCATGACAAATCAAAGTATAATGTTGTGAAATAATATTTCATTAAATATGTGATTGATTTCATGAAGGTTCTAATGGAGATGATTCTAACTAAGGATGGTCTTAGAGATGGATAAACCAAGTTACAATCCAAAAAATTTCAATAATACCTTGGAATTTGCAATCATTTGTGAACGGTAAATAAATATGTAGGAAATAGTATAGTTTTCTGTGCTTGCAGTAACAATATATGTAGAAGTTAGATATTCATAGTTGTTTAATGATGATAACAGTACACTACTATGGAAAACACATTCGATAACACAATATTATCATGATCATAATTCATTGTAGTCATATCATATTTTTTACGCGCATGTTTCTTTTATTTTATTAAAAAAATCATCATTGATCCTATAAAGAACCATCGTCATATATTTTGAGTGACAAACTTCAAATCTCAACCTCAATATTTTTCTATTTTTACAGTAAAAATAAGTGCTTGTCCCTTAACATTTTTTTAATTTAAAAATTGAAAGTATTACAACTATGGTGTTATATTCAACTGTGGTAATACGACTCATATATCACTACTGTTGACGCTTGCAACTGTTGTGAAATTTTTTCCCATAACATTAAAACATAGAAGGTACTTTATTTCGTTCATAACACACAGGAGTGCCCTAGCGAACGAGACGACACTGATAGCGAATATCATTTCTGAAAACGAAATCTTCATCATCCTCTTTAAATAACATTTTTGGAATCAAAATATTCACCATTCTCTTCGAATATCATTTCTGTTATGTTACCATTATCTCTCTTTGCCGCTTATGAATGTTTAAGGTTTCTTTCATGAATCAATGGCTTCTGTTTTTGTGAATATGCTTAAGGTTTTGGTGTTGGATATGCATATGCTTTATATTTTGTGTTTCAAACATTAGCGTGTTCCTTTACTTTCATTTTGTTGCAATTGTGCTTTGGTTTTATTCAGATTTTGTAGCTTATAACCATAGTGTGTAGCGTATAACAATAGTATGTAGTGTGTAGCATATAACATTAGATTATTGTGTATGAGAAATGAGTTCTTGAATTACTTAAAACTAAGAATTAAATTTGAAATATTGTAGCATATAACCTTAGATCATTGGAATACAAAAAGGCTAGTGATTTTTTTATTGATCATATCTAAATCATATGACTGATATAAAGTTTAACCGTTGCCAATTTGCTTCACCATCATCATCATAATCGATGATGACTAGCCTTTTCTCCCTTCTTGTTCTTGATATTTTCTTCCTGGAAGCTCTCATGGGCCTCAAAGGTTAGTTAGCAGGGCCTCTTGCAACGAATGGAACAACAACTTTTGTTCTCTCAGTATTGTTGAAAGTTTAAGCAAAAGTACTCATTTTGATTCTTCCTCTTCTCTGACTTCTTTGGATGAAGATCTTGTTGGAACAATATTTGTTCAAACCCTTGAAAGGTTTTTATGATAACAATGTATTTAAAGAGCAATAGGGTTTTACTAATGGTTGTTTAAGTGTGTATGATTAAAAGTCATTAAACTTGATATAAATCAATATAATCACTTAGAAGAATCATTAAAAGTGATGCAAAGCTGTTATGAATACGAAGGACCAGAGCCAAGATTTCACACTCTTAAGAAGTCAAACTTAGAAGAATCATCAAGAGTGATGCAAAGCTTTTCTGAATTTGAAGGACCGAAGCCAATCTTTCATACTCTTAAGAAGTCAAACTTAAGTCTCTCAGATGTTGTACTAAAGCTTACTTGGAATTCTAAAGACCAATAATATTTGAAGACTAGAATCATTTGAAGCAAGCAGACATTGTCATAAGGAATGACTCTGCAACTTCTGAACAAGCTTCATCAACAGTTCTGAAGTCTTGTGAGTCTATAAGTTTTTTTTTTAATTTTGTTATTTTTTATCAGAAAAACCCAAAAATGCCCAAATTCCCCCCAAAAATATTTTATTATATTTTCTAAGGAAAAAAACCCTTTTTTTCTTGTATCGGAATTAGAAAGGTTTTCTCCTAGTCTCTTATTTCAACAAATTTTCTTCATTCCTTCATTGACGGCGTGTGTTTGCTTTGTCTCTAGCTATGGTCTGGTATGTTATCATAAATCAATCTTGCATTGTGTAAGTATTTTCTTGTATGCTTCACTTGGATGTTTCTCTTGTATGTTCTTTTGTATAAAGGTGGTGCTCCATTGTTCAATCAAGTACACTTATCCCAATCCCCATCTATCAATTTCCATGTGACAAAACGGTTTAGAAAATTTATGATTTATGGTAGAAAACCGTTTAGCCTATTTTGAAATTATATATTGTTATAGTTTTGACAGAATTGTGATTTATGAGTTATGACAAATGATTGACTTTCAATATGCTGGAAGCATGTTTTATTACAAAGATACAAATAACTCTAGGAAGGATATGTTACCTATTGAATGGTGGGATTTCTATGGAGATATAACTCCAAAATTAAAGAGGTTTAGAATTGGATTTACTTTGAAATGGTAATTAATTATTATTTGTTTATTTATAGACTTGATTTTTATTTGTTTATAAACATTGAGTTAAATTATTATTTACTTTGTAGGTTCATAAAAAGATAAGAAATATATTGCATCAAAATAAGATGAAACTTGGTTTATATCATGTACAATTTAAATTTGAAAAGTAGAAAAGGAAAATCAAATACTATAGTTTTTCATTTGAAGATATTCATTCAGATCCTAATGAATGGATAACTGAAGATCCTAATGAAGAAAATATGCAAGCTGAAGTTAATGTTGAGCAAGATGATGTTATTGTTAACAATGTTATGGAGGTTAATGTTGTTGTTACTAATGTTGTGCAAAGTGGTGGTTGTGGTAAAATTGAATTAGGTGGAAGTGGAACTTCAAGCAGTCCAACTTGGGTTAATGATGAAGAAGTTGTTTCATCATAGGCAAAGTTTTATGATGATACTTAAGATACCAATGAATATGATGGTGATGATATTGGTGATCATTTCACTTGAACTTAGGATGTTTAAAACCATTAGCATATTGGTTTTAAGATATTTTTGCTTTAAGTAGTAGCCAATTAAGTAAAAATTAGTACTTTAAGTCTTTAACTACATACATTGCTATTTTGTTTGTTTTACTATCGAGTTTTTATTTTAAGAAATTTGTTATGGAGTATGAAATTAATTTTTTTTATGTTAATCTGTGTTCTATTATATATATTTGTGTCATATATGAGGCATTTACAAGTTTAAAAATATATGTGTGTGTCATGTATGTGTCACTTATAGGTTTTTAAAAGTCATTTTTTATTTTCCATATACTCATACGAGTTTGTGAGTCGAGTCTGCGATTTGAGTCTATTGACTCTTCGAGTCTGAGTAGAGTCGTGAGTTTAACAACCTTGTATACAAGAAGTTTCTAGTCACAAGTTATCTCAAGAAGATCTTGTGACAATGTACGACTATTGTATGTCTAATCAATAAAGTAACATTGTCAGGATCCCATATCTTCAGTTGTTATGAAAACTCTACTTTGTTCATCTCAACGTCTTTATGCTAGTTGTGTTTAAACTTCACTTTATGTGTTCTAGCTAAAGACCTTCACATCAGGGGGTTATTGCTTCGTTCTATAATTAAGTTTGGAGCAGTTCATTTTCTAGCAGTTAATCTGGCCAGCATTTGATTTTCTATTCAAGTTTTCTGTCAATTCATTTTGTACCAGATTCAAGTCTCCTTCGGAGCAAGTTTTCATTATTAGCATTGTTTAATTCTATTGTTCATTTATTTATATGCATCTCTATTGTTATCCTTTTCAAAATCTATTCTTCGAAACTTTAGTTTCTAAATTGAATCGTTATTCTTAATCAATTACAAGTTCTTGTCTTTACTTTAATTTCAAAGTTAAATTTATCAATTACATGTTCTAAGTTTTGATTGTTTTGTCCAATATCTCTAATTCTAGATTTCAATCGAATGTTTCATTGTTTATTATGAATATGTCTAGTTAATCTAATAGTGTTGGAATATGAGGATCATCGATTCGAAGGAACTCTGTCTGTTATTCCTTTAGAATTACTCTTGGGACTGTTTTGGTTTTATCTCAATTTTTCAAGTTTGTTTTGATTGGTTACTACGAGAGTAGAACCATAAATACGCCGAGTAAGATCGAAATTCGTCAAGTACCTAAGATTAAATTGTGAAGTTTTTTTATCAATAAACACCATGTTGTATCCCAAAATTTTCCCTCTCATTTCTCAAAGGATCATCCTGGACCCTCAGGTTTGCTTCTATCAAGTCCCAAGTCTTAAAGTATAACTTTTCAAGAAAATCATTCACAAGGGTAAAATGGTCAAAAGCACACTGAAAAGTCAAACTTTGACATTTAGATCAAAAATCAAGTTTCAATAATTATATTTCATCAAGACATGGAATTGGTTCATCAAAAAAATCAGAAGTCAGAAATTACTTTGAAAAAATCAAATTTCTAAACATTTAGAAAATTTTCTAAGTGTTAAGAGAATATGATACTTCAGAACTTTTGGGCCAGCCTTCACGCGAGTGCAATCAGAATTTGCAGGCATGGTTCAGAACATGATGCTTCAATCAGAACATATGGAAGCAATGTTCTTCGGTCAGAATATGACTCTTCAGCATATGGAGGTTACGTTTCTGATCTTTTGTGATCAGAACATCACCAAATCCCAAAACCTCGTTTAAGCAGCCTGCTGCCCTGCTATATCACAGTCCTGCAATCAGCTGTTGATCCAGTCCACGCCTACACTTTCTCAAACCTCATATTTGTATCAAATTAGCATACAAAAACAATGTTTAAAAAGCAATGAAATAGTATACCAAAAAGGTTTGAATCCCATTCCCCCCCCCAAAACTACAACAAACCCATCTATAAATAATTTTCTCCATCACATGTTCAAGGGGCTGGTTTTTTGAGAGAGAAAATTGTCAAAAGAGAGAAAAGAAAACTGTGAAACCTTCATAAAAATCCAGAATTCCCAAACAGAAAACCAAACCTTTGTTCTCCCCTTTGAATCAAAGAACTTGGCATTTTCTCTCCCGTTGCTCTTGCTGACTCCAGAACATTTGAAGGAAGCAGTTCAAGTTCCAAGCACACACTCTAGATTCAAGGTAAGTCTTTCTGACTTTGCATCTTCTCATTCAGAACATCATTAAATATGTAAATATCACAATATTAATATTGTCCATATCATTGCATAAGTAGGAAAAATATGGATCAGAACTTCTTAATTAAGGCTAGGCTCAGAATTAGGATTAGAACTTCTATAAACTGTTGTGCTTTTATCCTCCTGATTTGCTGTTAAGGACTGAATAAATTGCTGATGTGCTGATTAATATGAGGAAAGAGTTGAAATGTAACACAAAACTTCTGTTTTTCATTCACCATTTTAACACACAGAATTTCTAGGATTTTGTCACTGTTTAAGCATGCTGAACTTCTGAGTTCTCTTTACTGTATTAACACACAGAACTTCTAGGCTTTCTTACTGTTTTAACACACAGAACATCTGATGCTCACTCACTGTTTTAGCACAGCACAAAACTTCTGAGTTATCCCTACACGTTAAACACACAGAACTTCTAGGATTTCTTACTGTTAAGCACACTAAACTTCTGATGCTTCCACTTGCTGTTTTAACACTCAGAATTTCTGATTTTTTCACACGCTGAATTTCTGAAGTTCACTCACTATTTTAGCGTAATACAAAACTTCTGACTCTTGGCTCACTGTCTGAATACCACCCAGAACCTCTGTTTCCTTTCCCTCTGACATTTCTTGCAGGACCTTAGAGTGTATCAATCCAGAACTTCTGATTCCACTGATGTTCCTTTCTGAGTCACAACGCGTCTGGCTTCAGAACTTCTGATCCTTGTTGTTTTGCTTGCAGCAGCACGTTGTTTCTATCTTTCATTTATTTTCTTCTTTATCATTTTCAATAGTAATCTTTTTTTTATTAATATAAAAAAGACATAAAAATATTTTCTTTTATTAATTAATTTATTTCTTTTTCTTAATTCATTAAGACAAAAAACCATTTTCTAAACAAGTCCTTTTTCTCTCTTGCATTGTACATTTCAATATGGTTGTAATAGTTAAATAGGACTTAAATTCTTGCAACCCCCATTTGTAAATATGTACCCCCATCCCTAAAATATTGTAATAGCGTAGGACTTTATATTCCCGCAATTTATCGCTTTCCAAATATAAATGCTAGTAATTAGGGCGTGTATGACAAGATATGAAATCAACAAATAGATAACCCTAATCAAGACTAAAATGCATGCAATGAAACACACTTACACACTAGCACCCTTAGGGTAATCCCACCATGTGGCCTATCGGAAAAATACTCATGTCCCTCGAACATGGGCGTTTTAGAAAAAGACCCTCGATAAAAGATCGTAGTCCCTAGATGACCCTCGATGTTGCCTTTGATAAACGATCTAGTCCCTAACACGACATTGCTAAAACGTTCCATGGGTTGCCTTCTATGACTATACAAAAACGTCTCGTGCCCGTCCCTTCACATCCAACGATGAGGCTTCTTACCAAATCAATGGTAAGATAGCAACATCTAAAGGAGGAGGAAAAGAACATCTAAGGCCTTTTGAGTAGGTAGATTCGCTCCTAGTTGCTCGCTTGCTCACAACAAAAACATTTTATACACTAACACATCGCTTTGAACTATTTTCAAAACCAACACTTTGTACACATTCTTATAGAGACGAGAATCATTACAAAGACATTTTCAAAATATTTTCAAACCCACACCACAAGCACACTTTCAAACAAAGCAAGTGATCTAGCAAGCAACTAAGAGCCCATGGAAAACCATGGATGAAAAGGGTGCTAATACCTTCCCTTTTCATAATCTACCCCTCGAACTCAAGAAAACATCTCTAAAGGTCTTTCATGTTCTTTTCATCCTTTCCTTATTGGATAAAAGAAAAGTCGGTGGTGACTCTTGCTATTCGTAACATTTGCGATCAAACACAAAACAAAAAGTCAATTATCCCACCGTATCACACACCACAAAAGAACTTTATTAATTAATTAGGAAAGTTTGATATTTTCAGAAAGCGATTTTTAAACTATTTTCAGACACATTTATAAGTTTAGGATCCAGTTGTCCGGGAGAAAGCCGGGAACCCTTTAAAGTTAAATTTTCCAATCAAAACCACTTTTTAACTAAGCAAAAGAATCTAATTTCTAAAAATGTGTTTTTGCTTCTTTAACACAATCCTCATTTAAATGCTTTCCATTATTACATTTCTGAATTAATTCAAGTTTATCATTTTATTTTATTTAACCTATTCCAATCCTCATTTCAATCGCCTTAGATAAATATCGTAGCAATAGAAAATGATAAATTAACCATTAGGTCTTTGTGGGTTCGACAACCTTTTATATTACCATGATACATTATTTATAGTTGTAGAAATAACCCATCACCCAGAAAAAACAATTGAGAGAAACACACAAAAGAAGAAGAAATCTAACCTGAAGGGTCAATGTGTGTTAATGGAAAATAAAGTAGAGTGAGACATATTCATATATGACTAGAAGTGCCAAAAGAAAGATATGTGAATATGATCAAACATATCAATAGAACATCAAGGCACAATGTTGTACCCCAAAATTTGCTCTCTCATTTTACTCAATACATACTCCTAGAGGTCCTCAATTGGCTCATGTTTGCCCAAAAGTTGACCAGACAAACTCTCTCCTAAGGCAGGTTGCCTCAAATTAGGGTTTCCATTTTCATCAAGATAGGTGGACTACAAAGACCTCATATGCTATCCTTGGTCCTAATATCTTCTCAAGACCCTACATGTCAAGTTGCATGCCTTGCACAAGAAGTTTGCTCAGTCAACTGCTCAAATGCTTGAGAATCAACTGTATTAAG